CCCCCCCCCCCAAAAAAAACACCAAAAAAAGCATACTGTGTTGCAAGCCAGTGCTAAGATCAAATTATGTTACCTTATAGAGAATAACCATTAGCGTATAACGTTATGGGGTTCGGAGATAGCAAGCAGTCTGAATTAAAGCTTTAAGGTAAAAGGAAGTGGATACAACTGTACGAATGGATGCAGAAACTGCAGTGATCTGGCCAATGAGGCCGCCATGTTTGTAATTACGATAACCAGAAAAACAGCGACAAATCGTTATCCTAGAATTACAAAGTTCTGTCTGTTCAGTACCTAGTTATGAGAAATTTGACGCAAGCAATTTTTAGTGTCACAACATATCAAACTTTTTCGAATGCAATTCTTTGAAAATTTTGATGACGACTCCGAATAATCTTACGATTGTGATACAGGAGATATAACGTTTTTGACATCAAAGTCTAAGTTACGGAAAACGGCCAACAAATTCAGTTAGCACCTTGTCATTTTAAGATAGCGAAATACAGGACAACCTTCATTGTATAATCATGAGGACTGTCCATCTTTGCACCATAGCGACAGCTGTGTAATTTTTTACGGCAACAAATTTTCGATTAGACACACTTGTAACTTGAAAATAAGCCTCCAAAAATAGGAGAGTGTGTTTTTCAGAGAGCAATTTCTCAATTATTTTATAGTGCGGTCAAAAATTCGTAGCGCAATTTATTGTCAAATATCTCCTCAACTGTCGAACATAGGTTCTCCAACTTTTTGCACAATGACTTGTATCAATTTGTCTTAACAGGTCAATATTTTTGTAAACATCTGCTAGCTGTATTCTATCAAATTCCTTAGTAGCTACTAATAAAAAATCCAAGTGATTAGTTACTACATAGTATTTTAAAAGGTTTACTGCTGGGGAAATATCGCTTTTAAAAGCAAGTCCGTCATGTGTTTTCCAGTCGCGACATTATGCTTATTGAAAGCATTTTTTTGAGAACCGTTAGTGTAAAAAGTGCTTTCACTATAAAAACGAATTTTTGTAACATGTTTTGTCACTAAAAAGGGTCATAGGTGAGCTGTGACGAAGGCCATATGCGTATTCGAAATGTGTATGAGAAGCAAGAAGTGCTGTGAACAATCCCATTTTCCGCACGACAGAGATTTATAGTACTTATATAAATTCATGAAGAAAAGTCTTTTTAATCTAGCCTCAACTGTTGTGGGGAAAAATATGATTAAGTTAAAACAAATTGATACTTGTCTGAGACTTTTTTTTAAAGTGTTTAATTGAAAAAAACACCCTACTGTATTAAATGCTTTTCGACTAGTCTCAAATTCTATTAATATTCAAAATAAAGCGACAAACAGATTCAAACAGCCATTTTCTGCATCTTTAAAATGAGCTTGGCCTGGATGAGACCCCCTTACTGTATACCAGTGCTTGCCAACTATTTTATAGCCAGCGCCCTCTTTTGCCATCTTTACGAGGCTAACATTTTCGTACCCCCACCAGCATGGATTTCCAAGCGGGGCATTTATAAAAGATATCTGTCACGACCCGAGTGACCTCCACCGCCACCAAAATAATTACCAAATCTCCCACTAGTTGGCGTCAAAGCCCTAGTTGGCAAGCACTGCAGTATACTCTCGTCCTATCTATTGGTCGTAAACTCAGTGCACAGCGTAACCATTGGCAACGTGATACTGTTGAGGATCCACGATAACACTGGTGTATCCGGCTTGGGGCATAACGGGATAGCCCTGCCTCTGGCCTTGAAGCCCCGCCCCCTGATACACGGCCGATGTGCCATAATTGTCGTACCCGCACGCAGCAGCCGCCCGCAGACATGAACTATATTCTCCTGCCGCCATGTTCTTGTCGTGCATGAAACGCATGTCGTAAAACTTATTCGTGGGAGTAGCCGGAGAAGAAATGTCATAATATTTATTCGGTGACGTGGCTGCCGACGTCATATTATCGTAAAACGTCTTCGCGGAGTGGTGCACGGTCGACATTTCGTAAAGTTTGCTTGCAGCGTTTGAGTTGGGCGACATGTCGTAGAGTTTGCCGAGGCCGGCGTTTGCATCGTAATACTTGTTGACCGGTGAGGTCTCATAAAGCTTGTCCGCGTTCGTTGAGGACGAGGCGGTGTTGGGCAAGTCATAGAGTTTACTGGCGTCCAGAGAACCTGAGCTTATTTCGTAGAGTTTGTCTCCGTTGTGAGTGGACGCGTCACCCGGCAAAGGGAGATCCATACTGTGGGTGAGTGGCGTGGTTAGCGAGGCAATATCTGCCGATGAAGAGGGGGTCTTTCTGAGGGCATCGTTCATGTGATTGTTGTGGTTGTGGTGCTGTTGTTGCTGCTGCTGTTGCTGGTGTGCCTGCTGGTGATGTGGGTGATGCTGATGCTGTTGCTGTTGCTGTTGCTGTTGGTGGTGGTGGTGATGTTGATGCTGATGCTGATGTTGATGTTGATGTTGGTGGCTCGTCAGTCCGTTACAGTCCTGACTACCACCATTATTCCCACTGTTGTTGCTGTTGTTGTTTTGAAGGTGTTGATGAGTTTGGTGTTGATGTTGGTGATGGTGGTGCTGATGGAGGTTGCTATGCTGCTGATGCTGGTGTTGAGACTGCTGATGGTTGTGATGATGGACAGTAGCGGTGGTCGACGAGGCAGATGAAGAAAGTATCAAAGACGAATCAGCCGCCAGACCCGACACAGAGGAGGAAGAAGATGATGATGAAGAGGTGCATTGCGGAACAGGCGGATGAGGCAGGATTGATACGTTGGACGAAGATAAAGATGATGACGACGAAGTAGACGATGATGATGACGACGATGACTTTATAGCACCAGTGTTAGCAATAGTGTTTGCGCTTGCCTTCGCGTAATCCGGAGAAGCAGTCCTTGTGGCGTCGGAGGCGACAGAAGTCGAGGCTGGGTTTGCCTGGCGACGAATAATCACTGACTGTTGAATACACGATTCTCTCTGGGGTGGGGATAAGGTCTGCAAACCCTGGTCCCCTTGTTTAGGGAACGCACCCTCCTTCAAACCGTTGCGCTGTCCAGCATTGTCCAGTTTCCCCACTCTGGCCAGTGTACTGTTACTTCCACCACCACCGCTGCCACCAGTATTTCCCCCACTCTTTCCAACACTGTTACCCTCATTCACCCCTCCCCCACCACCTCCACCTCCTCCACCCGTACCGCCACCGCTTCCTCTAGAAGTGCTTCGAGCAGCAGCGAGTCCACCAACAGAAGACGTCTCTGAATGCCCTGCGGTTTTTAGCCCGTACGAAGGAGTTTGGCCGTTCTGCTGGTGTTGATGCTTATGCTGATGCTTCTGCTGTGACCGCGATTTGTCCGTGAATTCTTCGTTCCCGACATCGACGTCAGAAGCGGAGGATTCAGATCGGTTGCTGTAGGGGCCTGGGTAGTGTGTGATAGGAAATGGTGGGGCGTCTCTAGAGCTGCTCCGAGAACATGCTGTGGTGTTCATGGGAGTGATACCTAATCCACCAGTAGAAATTCCCAAGGACCCAGCACCTCCATTACCAGCACTCCCACCCCCACCACTACCACCTCCCCCAGTGCTGTTAGCAGTGAGGCTGCCACCACCATCCCCGCTGACAACGCCAGTTCCTCCTTCGCTCGACCCGAGACCGCCCATTGTTGTGGAAGCCACACCCCGGAAGTCGTACTGTGGCATAACCGTATTACTTCCGCCCGCTGGGTCGCCAATATGTGTCAGGCGTGACGTCGTAGCGGCTGCAGCACTCTGAATGGCCGCGTTAGAGGACAGGTACCCCGGGTAGGCGGCAGGGTCTCTTGCCGGGTAGTATCGCTCTTCGTAAGACCGATACGGGCTTCGGTTATCTAAGTATCGTTGATGTGCTGCGTGCGCTGTTGCAGCCGCTTGATACGGCGAGTACACACAAGCAGCGTCTCGATACATGGCCATACCGGGGTGAGGGTACGGCGTTGAGTACAGAGCGCTGTATCGATCCATTCCGACTGCCTCTGGAGTGGTCGAGTACATCATATTCGCGTAAGTCTGCATGGGAACAGACGCCACTTCGGGAGGGCAGTATTCGAGTGACGTCGTTTTGTCCATCGAGTACTCAGGTGGGTAATCGACAACGGCTGTCTCCTGCGAGACTTGTGGATACGGCGAACGGCGTGACTTGGTGCGGGCCGGCCGAGATTTGCCGCCAGACCCGCTGCTGTTGCCACCACTGTTGTTGCCAGAGCTGCCGTTGCTGTTGTTGCTCTTCATGGCTGAGTAAGGAGATAGATCCTTGGAGGACATTGTCTGCTCGATCTGAATCTGAGCATCCTTGTTGATCACCTCGCTGCGTATAAAAGAAAGAGTTGTATGAGTTAATAAAGCATAACAATAGTCCTTAGTCTGTTTCATTTTAGCACGAATGAAGCCGGGCATCCAACCAAACATTGTTACCAACAGTGAGAAGATTGAGTAGTGAGAAGGTAGAAGGAACGGATGAAAGCAAAGACGAAACATCAAAGTATAATTTAATACCACTTCTGATGGTACAGTTTCTTGCATGTCATTCCACCCGGCGTCTGTGTTGAGGCGTTAGGCGCTTCGCTGTCGTGTGCAGGAAACCCGAGTTCGATTCCTGTGTGGGGATAATTTTAATCGACCACATGTACCTCGGTTTTTCTGACACGGAGTTATATCCCTCTCAGTGCGGGTTGGCCCTGATAGACAGGGATCATGCCTACTTCCTACATTACCTCGATTGTGACGTGGTGGGGCGCAAAACGCTTACATTTAAATGTCATTAAAACACTGAAGAGATTGCTTTTTGTTGGAATTCAGGGGCTCCTCTTTAAACAGGGAAAGGGAAAGGGGTGTTTCTAAACCAAAACCAAGCGGTCGTGAGAGTAACTTTTTTTTTTCTCTCTTCCAACCTCAGCCCCGACTTCTTTTGTAAACGCCCGCCCAATATGTAGACCGAGGTTCATACGAAGCATAATATAACAGACCCTTGAAACCCAACAAAGAGGGCGGCCCTCTCAAGAAGTGACATACGTATGTGTAATGGAAGATTGAACTCATACAAAAACACACTCGTGCCTCTAAAACCTAGGAGGAAACATAAGATCCTTTTGCTTTCTTGACCTCTACCGTGGCTTCAAACCCAAAACTTAGAACTATAGGAAAGGGTGTGGTAAAGGTGAATACAATTTGGCTATCATTAAAAGGCGAAGTCTGAGAAAGACCAGTGCATGTGAAATAAATGTAGAAACTAATAGATACTTAGCATACTATAACTATAACACTGATTGAAGGAGAAAAGTGAAAGGGAATTCGGCTTTAAAAGAAAACATTAACAAAAGAAAAACAACACGATATATTTTGGTGAATAAAAAAACGAAACATGTTGCAAATGTGAGAAGGGTATCACGAATAGGAAAAATGTGGCGCAACATTGTGGATCTTCATAGAAAGATGGGATGGTAAACTGTAGAATCAGGAAATGTGCCCTTGTTCGAATCCCAAGCAGGTCGTCTTGAATGTAGGTTGTTAAGGCGAGTTTATCGGAGATGGGCGTTAAATTCTTCTAAATAACCAAACAGTCCTGAAAGGGGCATAAAACATATGTAATGACCAAATAACAGCTGTGTGTCTGTTCTTCATTGCGTATGAATTACAAGCGTACGAACTTGCTCAGCCAGCTTTAGCAAGCAGCGTGGGTTTTGATTTAATTAAGTAATTTTAACTTCGTTTGAAATGGAGAAATTCAAAAACAAAGACGGCGTGAGAGATTATTTACTATTTTCATTACACTTTTTCGCTCTCTTATAATATGTTAGGCTGCGAAGTGTACTTTGAATTCATTACTTTCTTCAAACAGTTGTTAGAAATGATACTTTCGCCTTAATAGTATCTCTCCCTCCGTCGCGAGTTCGCTCATCACTCGGTCGAGGTTTTTATTTGACGACTGGATTCAAGGAAAACATTGCTGCTCGCCCGCTGGTTGCATCATGTCCATCGAGAAAACCGGTGAGAGTACCTAAAAACTCCCCCATGATTGAATATAATTATACGAATTAATTAATTCACTACTCAACTTACAGACGACTGTCGTTTGAACAATATTCCCCTTCCCGGTTCCCGTCCTCGCCGCGATTATTAAAGGAAAGCTTCCGTGCGCACGAACACAAACAACCGCCATGTAAAGTTACACCATCTCGCGAGATTTGGCGAGATTCGCCCAGATAGATGGAAGCTCCAAAGGGATTGTGGGTGATTTGTCCCCCGGAAGTCTGACGGTTGTTCCTAATGAATTACAAAACTCGGATCTGGCGGTGTTGTTTGTGGCGACGGGAACTGGGAGCTCGCCCATTTGCATATGGCGCGTATATTGAACAGCGCGGTGGTGTAGTACGCACAAGTCACCACATGTCTGGGGTTTGGTCCATGAGCCCAGCTCTTTCTCTCTCATTCTCTCTGTCTCTGCTTCTATCTGTCTGTCTGTCTGTCTGTCTGTCTGTCTGTCCCCTCCCCCCTCTCTCGCTCGCTCTCTCTCTCTCTCTCTCTCTCTCTCTCTCTCTCTCTCTCTCTCTCTCTCTACGTATCTCTTTCGCTCTCTCCATCTCTATCACTCCCTTGCTTTCCCTCCCTCTCACCTTCCCTCCCTTCCCCCCCTCCCTCTCTCTCTCTCTCTCCCCTCTCCCTCTTCCTCCCTCTCCCTCTCCCTCTCCCTCTCTCTGTCTCTTTTTTTCTCTCTTCTCTGCCGTACGAATTTGTTGCAAATATTGATGACTGCTTCCAGATTCAATTGTAGCGCAAGCTCAACTTAAGAAGTTAGCGCTATGTTTTAACCAAGAGTCGAGAATTTACGTAAAGGGAAACTGCAAGCCCAAGAAAAAGTCACATTCCTTTACCTCTCAAACAGTGCGGGTTTTTTTTGTGTGTTTGTGTTCTCATAATTATTGTGCGTACATTGCACATCGCTTGACTACTGTGTCACTTTACCTAGTGCCAATAATAACCTCTACTTCTACATAGATATCTAGTGTAGATGGTTGGTTGGTTGGTGCTCTAGTGTGGTTTGCTCCTTCTTTCCTATCAAGCATCTATAGTTCTTATCTCTCCTCCATCTCTTTTTGTGTAAGATACTCTCTTGTAACACCTCTTATCTTTCCGCACTTATATGACTGATCGTACTGCAACAGCCCTAAAACTTTAAGTAAAACTAAGCAAGAGATATCCAAACCCCTAGATTTCATTCACCAGTACTGCCCTCTGTGGAAAATACATCCAGTGGTTCTCTCAAGAGTCTAAATTACCTTTCAAAAAAAGTTTTTTTCCTTAGATAAGGACTATAGCATGCATTTCTGGTCGTTGGGGTAATAATAAGGAAACAGTAAAAATACTTAGAAAGTATTTCGATCACTACTATAACTCCTAAGGAATATATTCCAACAAAGTCTTGTCGGGCCAAATCTTTACAATAAGGTAGCCAATCGCCCAGATAGGCGGAACCGTGAGAAGTTATTAACTCATCTGATTTTTATTCAAATTTGTATCCCATTTTAACCCATAGCTGTATAATGATTGTATCCGTCCTGTTATCAATACCGGTGCGTAGAGGGAAAAGAAAGTTTGTTTTACTTTCCTTGCATTTGCTCGAAAATTGAGAGCCATGCCTTAAACACAAATTCTATTATTGTATAATATAATACGGCTGGAAGGCTGTGTTTACCCGAACGTGGCAACACAATTAAATTGAGAAGCGATGCAACACGTCATGGCGGTGCATGGAGGAGTTGTACCTTTCAGTAAATTTCCAGAAAGAAACACATTGGGAAAGGGTGTGAGTGGATGGATGGATGGATGGATGGATGGATGGATGGATGGATGGATGGATGGATGGATGAAAAATTTGTCAGATAAAGGGAGGATTGTGTTGAAAGATGGATGAATAAATGGATTGGTGGATAATACGTTTGAAATGAAGAATAGAACGGTGAGAGGGGGTGGGGGTGGATATGCGGGTATTTTGTTGGATAATGTGATAAATGAGGGTAACTCTAAATAATGAAGGGATTGACTGAAAACTAAGCCGTTGTCTAGTTACCTGAGCACATAGTTCACGCTCACGATACAGTGAGGTCGACTAGACCGAGAGTTGTGCACGATGGTCGCATAGCTCTGCATCCACACCCAGCCGCCATCTTTAGCCATGAACCGGTAATAACGGGTCGTCACTTGGCCTTTCAACAGCACTGTTGAGAGAAACAAATGGTGATAATTTTTCTGTTTTGCTTACTGAGCTCATGATTACAGTATGTTCATTTTGGAAAAGACAAGTGCGAAGTATTACTTAGTTTAGTTTTAGTAAGAGATTTACGCCATTTACAATACAATAAGGTCATGTAAGTGCCGAAGAACAGATGTGTTACAAGAGAGTAACATTCACAAAAAAGAAGGAGGGGAGATAGAGATGATAGATTTTTTATAGGAAAGAAGGAGCAAACCGCACCAGAGCACCCGCCAACCACCCACCGAAGTATTACTGCTTTTTTTTTTTTTTTTACATTTGTACAATACGTTATTTGAAGACATTTAGCTATACGAGCAACACTGTCAAGAGGTTTTGTTAGGCCTAAATAAAGAGTCGGTTATTATTTTGGTTTCTGTCTGTATATAATATACACATAAATTGAAGACAAAAGAGGCAGGGGTAGACCCAGAGCAACCTACTTGGGGTTCCTAAACAATTGATTGACGGGGAAAGAGCTGGATAATGTAGCTTTTTTGAGAGCATCCGAGCAAGGGTATGAATGGAGAACCATGACTGCCAATGTCTATCCTGTTATATTGATAATTGAAACTTCTTTTTATTTTAATGCGTCTTTACGGTTTACATTCTGAGGAAAAGTTGAGAGGTTTAGGTGGGAAAGATACCCTGAATGATTCACAGGAAAAGGAGAATTTGAATAGTTCACATGCTAAGGGGAACTTGAAGGTTTTACATAGGAAGGAGAATTAAAATGGTTCACATGATACGGAGAAGGTGGCTGGAAGGCGCAACTAGTATGCTCTACTTCTATATTCTCCCTCTGCTGTTTCTGTCTGTCTTACTTTTTCCAAGCACTAAATGGTCATTATTGTGCCAATGTGCTTCTCTTAACTTAAACAAACAAACAAACAAAGAAAACAAACAAACAGACAAACGTGGGTCGTTGGTGGGTGCTCTGGTGTGGTTTGCTTCTTCTGTCCTATCAAGCATCTATCGTCCATATCTCCCCTTCTTCTTTTTTATGCTTGTTACTCTCTTGTAACACCACTATTCTTCTGGCGCTCATATGACCTTATACAGTTGCGAGCGCCGTAAAACATCTACTAAAACTTAAAAAAACAGACCAACATGATAAGGAGAGCTTGAACACTGCAGGGAAGAAGAACTTGAATGGTTCACCAAAAATATGACAAGGAGATTTCAAATGGTTAACATGATAAGCACAACTTTAATGTTGCTCATAATAAGGTGACCATAATATGGGATCTAGTGGTCGATTTGGTCTTTACCCATTTTTTGAAAAAAAAAAAATTATCAATTTTCTGAAAAACATGCTTTTTAAATCCTGTTTTGCATTGCTCAATCAGATTCTTTTTGAAAATAAGAATGTGTTAAAATAGTGGAAAATGCGCCTTTAAAAACGTTAAACGAATCATCAAATAGCATAGTGACACCTTTAATGTTTAAAATGGTAAGGAGAGCTTGATGGCTTCTCGTCGTAAAGGAGAACTTGATTATTTCACATGGTAAGGGTGATTTGAACAATTATTGTGGTAAAGAGAGCTTAAATAGTTCACATAGTAATGAAAACTTGATGGTTCACAAGGTAACGAGGAACTTGAATAATTCACATATTAGAGACATATTAATTGCTTTACTGGAGAAGGAGAATTTGGATCATTCACATATAGAGAACTTGATGACTCTACATGGTAAAGAGAATTTGAATCATTCGCATATCAATGGAGAACTTGGTGGCTTTACGGGGAAGAAAATTTTGAATTGTTCACAGTGTAAGGAATTTGAACTATATTCACAGCGTAAGGAATTTGAATTGTTCACATGGTGAGGAATTTGAATTGTTCACAAGGCACAAGGTAAGGAATTTGAATAGTTGAAATGGTGAGCAATTTGGATTGTTTCCATGGTACGGAATTTGGATTGTTCACATGGTGAGGAATTTGGATTGTTCACATGGTAAGGAATTTGGATTGTTCACATGGTGAGGAATTTGGATTGTTCACATGGTAAGGAATTTGGATTGTTCACATGGTGAGGAATTTGGATTGTTCACATGGTAAGGAATTTGGATTGTTCACATGGTGAGGAATTTCAATTGTTCACATGGTGAGGAATTTCAATTGTTCATATGGTGAGGAATTTCAATTGTTCATATGGTGAGGAATTTCAATTGTTCATATGGTGAGGAATTTCAATTGTTCATATGGTGAGGAATTTCAATTGTTCATATGGTGAGGAATTTCAATTGTTCATATGGTAAGGATTTTGAATTGTTAACATGGTGGTGAATTTGGATTGTTCACATGGTGAGGAATTTGAATTGTTAACATGGTGGTGAATTTGAATTGTTAACATGGTGGTGAATTTGAATTGTTCACATGGTAAGGAATTTGAATTGTTAACATGGTGGTGAATTTGGATTGTTCACATGGTGAGGAATTTCAATTGTTCATATGGTGAGGAATTTCAATTGTTCATATGGGGAGGAATTTCAATTGTTCATATGGTGAGGAATTTCAATTGTTCATATGGTGAGGAATTTCAATTGTTCATATGGTGAGGAATTTCAATTGTTCATATGGTGAGGAATTTCAATTGTTCATATGGTAAGGAATTTGAATTGTTAACATGGTGGTGAATTTGAATTGTTCACATGGTAAGGAATTTGAATTGTTAACATGGTGGTGAATTTGGATTGTTCACATGGTGAGGAATTTGAATTGTTAACATGGTGGTGAATTTGGATTGTTAACATGGTGAGGAATTTGAATTGTTCACATGGTGGTGAATTTGAATTGTTCACATGGTGAGGAATTTGAATTGTTCACATGGTAAGAAGAAAAATCTTCATACTGTGGCCCCCTGAGAAGGTGCCCACACCCCTGTGTCCGGCCACTGCCTCGGACATCATTACCCGGTGGTGAGATGGTCTCGGCCTGTCTGAGCAAACACTCCAGGCACGGGGGTCAACGCGCAGGAGACAGCCCCGGGTCAACTCATTAGCGTCACGTGACCATATGCAAATCTGGCCCACGTGACCTTATTGTTTGTGGTCCAGGCGAAGGGTGGTGTTTAGACAAGAGTCAGACTGATGAAAAAACCATGGATGCTGGGTGGATTTCAGTGACGGGGCATGGAGATGGGAACCGGGGAAGGCAGAGAGGGTTTTTCTTATTGATCTGATAAGATTGTGTGTACCTCGAAGATAGTGGTACCCAGGCTGTACCCAATCCATGTACATTGTTGGCGTTCTGTTGGGTTGTCCTTGTGAAGGCAAAACATGTACCCTTTTCTCGACACATTATTGTGATTATCTGTAAAAAGGTAAAAGTCTTGGATTTTCACGTCCTTTTGCTACAAGATGGAGCCAAGACAAAGGACAAAGAGTCAGGACAACTCTTCGTACAGCCCACAAAACTTCGTTTTATCATTGTGATCAAATTCTCGAGAGTCAATTAAGAAGTCCTAAGATGGCCAGACGCGATACCATTTTTTAAGCAGATCCACCACAAAGGTTTACCTCCGTGTCTGTATTGAAATAATTAGGGGGAGAGGATTTGGCTCTTCATAGACGGCTGTATAAATGAAAGGCTGAATCTGATAGGATGGGCGATTATATTATAATTGAAAGGCTGTATCCGATTGGATAATTATAGGGCAATACACTTACACGTGTGGTGTGCATATCTCATGTGCAGAATGTCACACGCGTGGATGTAGTGGTAGAGTGTCTTCTCGATCAGATCCTGGGGCTCATACCCTGTTAGTGCGGCCACCCTGGGGATGGCAGAATTATTAAATGATATACTATTGTAGGGGGGGAAAAGGGTGGATATGTTTGGGCAGGGGAGAGGGAAAACCGTTTTGGATACACACACATACATATCCGCACACACAGACACACAAACACACACACAAACACACACACACACACACACACACACACACACACACACACTCACACGTATCTGTGAGTATATAATATAATATTTGTATGTGAGTATACATTTGCTATTACTATATACTATAATAGAATTGTAAGGCTGGTCACTTAGAATGT